CCTCGTCCTCCTCTGCCTCCTTCTGGACCAGAGGACGGCTACAAGTTTGACCTGCGCCTCTGCGGCTACAAGTTTGACGAGGGCGGTTGCCCGTCCCCTGCCGGCACCCCCGAGCAGCCACCTGCCTGCCGCTCCTCCAGGGCCAGCTGCCTACATTACAAGAAAAAACAAACGAACGAGCAAGAAAAAAAAACAAGCAGACAACCAACCAGATAAGCAAGCAAGCAAGCAAGCAAACAAAGAGCAGAGACTTCGTCGCGGATGTCCCCACAAATGCATCTCATTTCCAAGCACTTCCGTCTGTGAGTACTGCAATGGAAGAAAAGCCTGTGCTGACTGAGCGCATCCTGGCGGCTTCCCTTGGGAGTACCCATATTCTATACCTGCTACAGCGGGATGATCTTGGGACTCCTGAAAGTAAGGAGCCGGGGGTGCCACGCCAGCATCTCGCCTGAGACGTCCCCAAGATCTGGGAGCGAACGGGCATATGAAAAACCCCATGGCTGCTCCCCCCTGGGGTGCCTCACTGTTTTGCCTGCTGCATCGGACGGCCATGACTGGCGGCGAGCGCGGGGGGGGAAGTGAGGGGGGCGGGCCTTCTCAAAGGCACGGAAGTCCCCCGGCCTTCTGAGAAGTTTTCTACGCCTTCCCCGACGACACAGAACATTTCTCAGAAGGCGCGAAGGCTTCTGAGAAGGCCCACCGCCTTCTTAAAAGGCCTTCTCCTTCTCATTTCCCCCCTCACTCGCCGCCGACATGAGGCTCCGAAAGGAGAAGATTCCGGGCTGCAAAACAAGCGACCCGTCCGAGACACCCACACGATACAGTCGGGGCGTTGACCTAAGGAACCCTAAGTAAGGAACGAGGCCCTTTTTCCCATAAGTTAAACTTCGACTTCCCATCGGAAACCTCAGGAAAACCCGAGGAGCCCTGTAAAACCTTCCCAAACGAAAAGGGTTCCTTCTTCAGCGCCACGACTGTATGGGCGCGAACGACCAAGTGTTCTACCGCCTCCGCGGTCCCCTCTTGGGGCGCACGGGCGCCATGCTTGCTGCATCGAGGCGATCGTGGGGCTCTGGAACCGACCAGCCACAACTGGGGGAGCTGTTGTCCTTACCCCCCTGGGGGAACCCATCGCATCGACGATCTCTCGAGAGGGGTGTCGAAATCGATGGGTCCCCCAGGGGGGTAAGGACCACAGCTCCCCCAGTTGTGGCTGGCCTGTGGAAGGAGAGAAGGCAGTCAGAGGCGCAAAACAAGCGCCTCGCTCGAGAGAGCCCAAAAATCTGGGCGCGGACGGGCAAGTACCCTGGCCCCTGGCGCCCCCGCTCAGGGCGCCCATGCCCTATTCCTGATTCATCGCGGCGATCATGAGGGTCTCAGGCGAGCGAGGAGTAGGAAGAGGAGGGGAGCAAGGAGTGGGAGGCGGGGGCGCCACGCAGACATCCAGACACCCAGAATCCCCGGATCCGTGGGACTCTGGGGGCCGACCGAAACGCGCAGGGGCCGGGGGGGGGGGGGGCCCCCGCGGCCGTGGCGTGCGAGCGCGGGCGGGCGGGCCTTGCACAGCTCCGTCTTTCCCACACCCCGTCGGGCCGCCGAAGATGAAGGAGGCGATTCGGCCGTTCGGGTTCTGCACCCAGCGCGTGGCCGGCGCACCGCCTGCGCGCGGGTGCCGCCGCCGCCGCCCGCGGGTGCGGGGGCACTGGGCGCGACCACACCGGGCGGGGGCCCAGCCTGGAGGGTCGCCAGGGGAGCGGGGGGGAGTGAGCATGCCTCAATCGATCCCCACTCCACACTGGCATTGTCTTGGCCCACTGGCCGACTATACACATGCATGTTAAACAAATATATTATAATTCTTATATTTATATATAAATATACAACATACATACATACATACATACATTACATACATACATACATACATACATACATACATACATACATACATACATACATACATACATACATACATACATACATACATACATACATACATACATACATACATACATACATACATACATACATACATATATAAAGAGAATGTATACAGAAATATATATATATACATATATATATATGTATATATGTGCTGTTCCCTCCAGGTTTCACGGGACCTACCCCCACTGGGACCGGTGGGGCTGAGGTACCGTGGCTCAGTGGAGGTGGGGATCAGTCGGACGATGCTGAGGAAGGGCCGAAGGAATGGGCAGGATCGGCCAGCATCGAATCGGGAAATCGGCTCGGATCGAGGTGTGCGTGGGATCGGGCTCGGAGGACCGATGCAATGCAGCGGGGACGCGCAGCAAGAAACCGCCTGTGCTGCGCCAGGGTGCCCTAAATTTCCTGGCTTCTGTCGCGCTTGCGAAGATCGGGGAGACGTAAAACTCCTCGGGTTGGCCTGACGGGGCCATCATAAAAACGACGAGACCCCATCTGCAATCTGACGCGAGCTCCCCCCGCAGACATCCCACGAAACCAGACCGTCAAAGTCCAGGACGCGCTCATCAAAGAACGTCGGCAGGCCCGAGCTCCGGCGCACTCGAGCCCTACGATCCCCCGAGAGGGGGAGCGCGAGGGCTCCCGGCCCCGACTCCGTCCTGCGGCGTCAGGGTCTCAACGTCCTGCGGAGGCTCCTCGTGGCCGAGACCGGACCGGCGGCCAACCAGAAACCGTGGGTCAGCGGGCGGGCCGCGCCGCGCCAGGGGCACACCGAGGCAGCTGGCATGCAGTGGAGGCCCAGCCCACAGGAAGCCTTCCACAAGGAACCCAACCCTCAGACGCCAGGACGTCCCTCGGTTTTGCGTGGGAACGCCACGCTCTCCATAGCACAGCAATCGAGGTCCTGCTTGCTGCGCACGGCAACGGCCCACAAACACTCTTCCACACCATGAAGGACCACCTCGACCGTGGTGGTCGTCTGACAGGGAGGGGATGAGGGCGAAAGAGTCAGATGCTCGCCCTGGGGGCCTCCGTGGAGCCAGTCGCTCCACTCATGCGTCCGTGCTGCGTCGACCGTCCGTCGGCTTGGGCCGCCCTTGAGCCGGGCCAGAGTTAGAGGCGGCCGAGGGGTCCGAACTAGCTGGACCCCCAGGAAACCAGCCAGGATGGGGGGGGATGAGGCCGAATCCGCCCAAAATCTGTCCCTGAACCCCTCCCGGGGTCCATCTGGTGTAGTTTTTCACACGGATCCATTTTTCACGGTCCCAGGGCCCGAAGACGCCCCCAGAGAATGAAAAAGGCAAAACAAAACAAAAAAAAATCTTCCCGAGCCCACCACGTCCAACCTCGCTCCCCCCTTCTGGCTCGCCAGACAGTGCTGGGCCACCTCAGACCCCCGGCCCGCTCTAACTTGAGTCGAACTTGAGCCGAGCTAGAGTGGAGCTTGAGCCAGGCAAAAGCCGAACTTGAGCCGAGCTGGAGTCGAACAGATTCGGGCGTGCCGGCGGGCGCGCACACCATTGAGCGAGGGGCGCTGGGGGAGTGGCGGGGAGCAGAGAGGGGCAAGCAGGAAGGGGCAGGACCGGTCCGCATCGAATCAGAAAATCGGATCGGATCGGAATGAGCCTCGAATTGACTACCTACCAGACCACCCCAACCCAACCCGAAGACCCGAATTTCGGGTTGGGGGGGTTAAGGGTTCCACGTGTGTTTTTTCGATGTTCCCCGACCCCCCCCCCACTGGAAATCGACGGTAAATTTGAGCCTTCGGGTTAGGTTGGGGTGGTTTGGTGGGTGGTGACGAATCGAGCCGCATCGGCACAGAGCCGGCATCGAACCAGATCGGCCGCGCCAGGATGCACGGCAGCCCCACGCAAGCATCGGGCCGCATCGGATCGCGCGAAGACCGGAAGCGCATCGGATCTGGCCGGCCGGCGCCGATGTCGAATCGGACCGATCAGATCGAGATCAGCCCTGAGGGGTAGGGGGGGAGGAGGGGGAGGAGGAGGAGGAGGAGGAGGAGGAGGAGGAGGAGGAGGAGGAGGAGGAGAAGGAGGAAGAGGAGGGGGCGGGGGGCACTAGCTCGTAGGAGTGGACGGTGCTGGACCCCCACCTCCTCTGCCTCTGGGGAAACCAAGAGGTACTGATACTGCTACTTTTAAAGCGGGCCTTTCCCTCTCTACAGGAGGAACAATCAAAAACAGTTAAAATTAATCAGGGAATTATTTTTTGAGTATTTCCCTACCTAGGCTCTGCCTAGAAGGGTTCTTACTCTCTTAGCTTAAAGGGGCCGGGCAGTGTAAAGCGCCCCGGGCGGTTCCCCCAGTCCCCGCCCCGCGGTTCCCCCCAGTCCCCTGGGAGCTTTAGCTTTAGCTTTAGCTTAGCTTTAGCTTTAGCTTAGCTTTAGCTTAGCTGTAGCTTAGCTTTAGCTTAGCGTTTCGCTTAGCTTTTCGCTTATTGTTTAGCTTAGCTTTAGCTTAGCTTTAGCTTAGCTTGAGCTTAGCTTGAGCTTAGCTGTAGCTTAGCTGTAGCTTAGCTTTAGCATAGCTTTAGCTTAGCTTTAGCTTAGTTTTAGCTTAGCTGTAGCTTAGCTTTAGCTTAGCTGTAGCTTAGCTTTAGCTTAGGTGTTGTTCAGCTTTAGCTTAGCTTTAGCTTAGCTTTAGCTTAGCTTTAGCTTAGCTTTAGCTTAGCTTTAGCTTAGCTTTAGCTTAACTTTAGCTTAGCTGTGACTTAGCTTTAGCTTAGATTTAGCTTAGCTTTAGCTTAGCTTTAGCTTAGCTTTAGCTTAGCGTTACTGTTACTACTAATGCTGCTTTCCTAGGGGTTCCAACTCCTAGGTAGGGTCGCACTGGGATAATGTTTGCCACTTGGGGTATTTCCCTACCTAGGCTCTGCCTAAAAAGGTTCTTACTCTCTAGCTTAAAGGGGCCGGGCAGTGGAAAGCGCCCCGGGCGGTTCCCCCAGTCCCCTGGGAGCGGTTCCCCCCAGTCCCCTGGGAGCTTTAGCTTTAGCTTTAGCTTTAGCTTTAGCTTAGCTTTAGCTTAGCTTGAGCTTAGCTGAGCTACGATGTAGCTTAGCTTTAGCTTGATGTGGCTTAGTCTAGCTTAGCCTTTTTTTTAAAAAAGGCTTCGCCGAAAGCTTAGCTGTAGCTTGCTCAGTTTTAGCTTAGCTTTAGCTTAGCTTTAGCTTTAGCTTAGCTTTAGCTTAGCTTTAGCTTAGCTGTAGCTTAGCTTTAGCTTAGCGTTTCGCTTAGCTTTTAGCTTAGCGTTTAGCTTAGCTTTAGCTTAGCTGCAGCTTAGCTTTAGCTTAGCTTGAGATTAGCTTTAGCCTAACTTTAGCTTAGATTTAGCTTTAGCTTAGCTTTAGCTTAGCTTTAGCTTAGCTTCAGCTTAGCGTTACTGTTACTACTAATGCTGCTTTCCTAGGGGTTCCAACTCCTAGGTAGGGTCGCACTGGGATAATTTTTGCCATTTGGGGTATTTCCCTACCTAGGCTCTGCCTAGAAGGGTTCTTACTCTCTAGCTTAAAGGGGCCGGGCAGTGGAAAGCGCCCCGGGCGGTTGCCCCAGTCCCCTGGGAGCGGTTCCCTCCAGTCCCCTGGGAGCTTTAGCTTTAGTTTTAGCTTTAGCTTTAGCTTAGCTTTAGCTTAGCTTTAGCTTAGCTTTAGCTTAGCTGTAGCTTAGCTTTAGCTTAGCGTTTCGCTTAGCTTTCCGCTTAGCGTTTAGTTTAGATTTAGCTTAGCTTTAGCTTAGCTTGAGCTTAGCTGTAGCTTAGCTTTAGCTTAGCTTTAGCTTAGCTTTAGCTTAGCTTTAGCTTAGCTGTAGCTTAGCTTTAGCTTAGCTGTTGCTCAGCTTTAGCTTTAGATTTAGCTTAGCTTTAGCTTAGCTTTAGCTTAGCTGAAGCTTAGCTTTAGCTTAGCGTTTCGCTTAGCTTTTCGCTTAGCGTAGCTTAGCTTAGCTTTAGCTTAGCTTTAGCTTAGCTTTAGCTTAGCTTTAGCTTAGCTTTAGCTTAGCTTAGCTTAGCTTAGCTTTAGCTTAGCTTTAGCTTAGCTTTAGCTTAGCTTTAGCTTAGCGTTACTGTTACTACTAATGCTGCTTTCCTAGGGGTTCCAACTCCTAGGTAGGGTCGCACTGGGATAATGTTTGACTATGTTTCATTGTTATTCCAGTCCCCCGGTAGGAGGAATAATCAAAAATAGTTAAAATTAATCCGGGGATTATTTGTTGAGTATTTTTGTTGCCATTTGGGGTAATGTTTGACTATTTTTCATTGTTCTTCCAAAGTCCCCCGGTAGGAGGACAGGCCCGACTTAACGCTACTCCCCGGACCTCTCCCCGGGTGCGTCCCGACCAGCATCTCGAGGCGAATCCGGCGGTGGCGTGCCGGACGGAGGGCCGCCCACCAGACCCCAAGAAGGGGAAGGCGAGCGAAGGGCAGAGGCCGTGGGCACTCCGGATCTCATAACAATGGGGGGGGGGTCTGCTTTTGGGGGGGGTCTAACGGGCTTCGTCAACACACAGTTGTGGGGGGGTCTCGATTTTGGATCCTTTGTTGCCTGACTGGGGGGGGTCTACTTGGGGGGGGGGTCCCAGACCGGCCGTCAAACACTCTTTTGACCCACCCCCCCCCTGTATTATGAGATTTGGGGTACCTTCTCCTCCTCCGCTGGCTGTAACCACCACAGCCTGGGTCTCCCCAAAGCGAGCACCGTGTAGGACTAAGTCGGGCCTGTCCTCCTACAGGGGGACTTTGGAAGAAAAATGAAAAATTGCCCCCCCCCAAAAAAATACCCCAAAATGGCGAAAATACTCAAACAAATACTCCCCTGACTAACTTTTGACTTTTTGCTGACTGCTCCTCCTGCAGAGGGACCGGCCCGATTGACGTGCAGGAGGCGGCCCGCGCGGGGCCAGGGTCGGGCCAGGCCGCGGCGCGGTCCTTGGAGATGGCGACCACCGCCTCCTCCTGGCCGATGACGCGGTTGTGCAGGGTCTCCTCGGGGCCCCCGGCGGGGGGGGGAGGAGGGGGAGGGGGAGGAGGAGGGGGAGGAGGAGGAGGAGGAGGAGGAGGAGGAGGAGGAGGAGGAGGAGGAGGAGGAGGAGGAGGAGGGGGAGCCCCACGCCCGCGCGGGCCACGGCGGGCTCGCGCCGGGCCGACCCCGGCGGTCGGCTCCTGGTACTGCGGGGATCGCTCGACCTTGAATTGGGTCGGGCGTGTCCCCCTACAGAGGGGGATCTTGGACGAAAACAAGCAAAAATACCCAACAAATACTCCAAAATAAATTTTTGGGGATGCTCAAAAAATACTCCCCAGACTATTCTTTCTGTTTTGGGATATTCCCCCTGTAGAGGGACAGGCCCGACTTAAACCTTGAACCATCGGCCGGTTCCGAAACGTCCGATCGTTCAACGTCGGCCTGAAGGGGCCCTGGGACACACAAGCAAGTACACACAAATAAAAAGATTCCCCATACTTTCCCATATTTTCTGGGCTTCTGTCCTCCCCCCCACTTCCCATATTTTTCCTAATTTTTTCTGGGGGATCGACGATTCATTGTGTCTGTGTTTTTTCCCCCTCCTGACGACTCTGGGCCGCCGGCGGCGTCCCACCCCTGTACGCCGGCGGCGGGGTCGCCGCAAGGTCGGCACGACGCGGACCTGCCGTGCGCATTGCGCGGATCCGGCGCGCGGGCGCCGGGTCTGCGAGGCGGCGAGACGCCCGCGCGGGGGAAGCGACGTCGCGGGCCCCTGCGGGCGGTACAGTCGGGACGTTGACCTAAGGAACCCTAAATAAGGAACGAGGCCCCTTTTTCCCATCAGTTCAAGTTCGATTCCCCATCGAAAACCTCAGGAAAACCTAAGGCAAGCTGTGAAACTATCAAGGAACACGGAGCCCCTCCCCAACGAAAAGGGTTCCTTCTTCAGCACCCCGACTGTAGCCGGGAACGGATTTGGGCTCCAGGCCCACCGCAGGTCGAGGCTCGGGAAGAGGGCTTCCGAGGCGGCGGACAGGAGCAGGACCTGGCCTCAGGTCGAGCGTGTCCCCCACAGGCGGGTTTTGGGGCGAAAAATCAGGCATGGTCAAGAAATGCTCCCAAGATCGTGCCCAGACCACTTTGTTGCCGATTCTGGCGTGCTCCTCCTGTAGAGGAACGTGCCCGACTTCGTCCTGGCCTCGGCAGGTCCACGGATCGGGGAAAGGCACCCCTGGAGACACATGGCGGGCGCCGGAGCCGCCCGAACTCGGCGACGGAGCTCGCCGATGCTGCACTGAAGCGGGGCCCACAGCGCGAATCCTCGCGCCTTCATCTGGGGGCGCGCAAGCACGGACTAGCGATCCATGGGCTTGGCGCGCGGCCGCCAGATCCATGGATCGGGGGAGGTGCCCTCCCCAAAATACGGCCGACGCCGCCTCCTTCGGCGGCGGAAGCCCGCGATTTCCCGTGGACGCGGGGCCCGTCGCTGATCCACGCCCCATGAAAACGGCCTGGGACCGAAAACGACGGACCTGGATTGAAGGTCGCTGGGGGGGCAGCGTTGTTTCCAGGGCCAGATCCCCGCACGCTCGGCGGGCGCGCTTGATCGGTCAACAGCCATCCTTACCGCCGCCCTTCGCGAGAAGCTCTGGTTTCAGGTTTGCTCTTGCCCACGATTGGGCTGCTCATGCTTGCCATTGCCCTACAAATGCATTGCCCTCTCCCCCGTTGCCCCAGAAACACAGATCGGCGTCGCTGCCCCTCAGCGAGCTTCAAGACCTGGACCCGCAAAAATGACGGCCGCGACGCCCTCTCGCGAACCGAAAACGGCCAATTCGCTAATCGACGCGTCAGGGTAGGAGGTCTGTCCACCCCCGTGACTCATGTCTGCGATCGCCTGGTTGATCCAGGCTTGCGCTGCCGCGAAGCGAGAGGGTGGCGCCAGGGGGGCGGCCTTCCAAGAGGGCAGGGGGGCCGCCTCAGAAGCGCCAGGAGGCTCCCAAGAGGGCTCCTTTGTTAGAAGCCTCCGGGGGCTCCGAAGGTGAGGTTGGGCATGTCCCCCTACAGGCGGATGTTGGACGATCTTTCGGTCTAGGAAGACAAAGCAAAAACTCAAGAAATGCCCAGGGACACACAAATAAATTAGTCGAGAAGTCGTCCCCATACTTTTTTATAACTACGTCTGAATCTTCCTCCTGTAGGGGGACACGCCCGACGGAATCCCAAGAAGGCCCCCGCCGGCCCAGGAGCCCCCCCTGCCGTCTCGGCGGTCCCCCCCCCCTCGAGCCGCCCCCCTTGCGCGCGCTGCCGACGTGCCTGCCTGCGCTCCCGCGAAACGACGGGGGAGGGATGGCCCCACCATGAGTATCGCTTTACCGATCCCCATCCCCAGCGGCGTGGCCTGGGCCCCACTGGCCGATTTAACCCCCCAGATGGGGATGCAGGCCGTTCCCTTCGGGTTTCGAGGGGTGTATCCCCTCCCGTCCCGCGCGGCGCCGCCGCACCCGACTCCTCTGCCTCCCCGGACCTCCGACGTCGCGATGGTCTTACAACGCCGACCCCCCAGCCCAGACATCCGGCGCCTTGGAAAACATCGCGACGAAAGTGTCTGCTGATGTTCGGCCTCTCGGGGCCACTGCCGGGCCTCGGGACCGTCAAAGAACGGCGCGGGATGAAAGAAAACTGATCCTGGAGAAGTGGTCGAGAGGTCGGGGGCACCTGTCGCAAACAGATCGAGGCGCCGGGTGTATGGGAGGACTCCTCCTCCTCCTCCTCCTGCTCCTCCTCCTCCTCCTCCTCCTCCTCCTCCTCCTCCTCCTCCTCCTCCTCCTCCTCCGGACCCGTGTGTTATCCTGAGCTGGTTTCCTTACGCTCCGGGGGCCCAGCGAAGGCCCCCCAGAGAGGCCAGAAGCGACCAAACACTTCGGCGAGCGCAGGTGGAGGAGATATGGCCCAACCAGCTGCCCCAGGCGCTCCTCCGGGGCCAGAAGACGCGGCATCCTGGCCTCGGAGGCCCGCCCTATCTATCGCTGGCTGTGCTTCTGCTCGGCTGCCGCGGAGGAAGAAGCTGCACCCACAAACACGAACTTTCGTGAGGCCGCGCGGATGTCTCGCGTCTGCGCCGAGCCCCAGACCCCCGACGCCGTGATTCATTCACAACATCCACCCCCGGAGGTCTGGACCCCTTCCCCCAGGGGACGACACGAACGTGCTACTCGAGGCATCCCCCGCCGAATAGAGCGGCGGCGCCTACGACCTGGGAGTCTGCCTGAATTCGACCGATGACAAGCCGCGTGCACGCCGTCACCGCCACGACGCGAGCCGCAAGCCGGAGCGCGTCCCGCGACATGCTCGCTCCCAGCCAGCTCTGCCCGCCGGTGATCCCCCCGCGCGTCTGTTGTACCATACTGTCGGGCACGCTGCAACCTGCATCGCTTTTTGACGGTCCCTTAACCGATCCCCATCCCCAGCGGCGTGGCCTGGGCCCCGCTGGCCGATTTACCCCCCTAGGGATTTCGAGGGGTGTATCCCCAACTGGGGGGTAAGTTGGTGGGGGTCTCGAAGGGGATAGGGGATGGGGATGGGGATGGGGATGGGGGTCGGTGAAACGATGCTGATCATCAGGCCCCCCGAATCTCTGGCCCGGGGGCGTCCTGGCGCCTAGCGCCGCCTCCGACGACGCCCTTCGAAGGCGCTCCACGCCCCGGGGCTGAGGTGCCGAGACCGCCCCAGTCTCAGACGATTCGGAGGGCCTGCCGAGGCCCACTGCGGGCGGCGCCTGCGCGCCACCCGAAGGCTTACCGACTCGGGCACCGCCTCGCCCGAGAACCCCGACACCGCGACTCTTTGCCCCCAACTTACCAGCCTCGAACGTATCCCTATCCCTAAGATTGACACGCCAAAAGGCGATGACAATCTTAGTGATTCGCCCTCAAAAAGTCAGGGAATCCCTGAGATTGGCATCGTGATGAGGAGGTGCCCAGCATAGGGATAGGGATATGTTCCAGGCTGGTAACCAACGTCGACCCCCAGGAGGTCTGGACCCCCTCAGCAGGACCGGCTGCTCGTCTCCCGAGTCGCCCTGCGCCGGCCCCAGGGCCAGGTGAGGGCCCCCGGAGGCCGAAGGATACCAAAAGCGGTCCGTCTTCTTGTTGTTGTTTGTTTTCTCGACGGCGCACTCCAAAAAAGGGTCCGTCGTGCTTGCGTCGCGACGAGAAGAGGCGAGGTCATCCGCCCCATCCCCCGTCGGGAGACCGCGGCTGTCCAGCCGGAAGGGCGAGGGGGGCTCCTCCAGAGCAACCAGGCGCTGCGACTCGTCGGACGAGACCTTCTCGACGGGCACGCCGGTCCACACGGACACCACCTGGGGCGCGGCGGGCCCCTCCTCCCTTGCTCCTCCGCCTCCTCCTCCTCCTCCTCCTCCTCCTCCTCCGCCTCCCTCCTCCTCCTCCTCCGCCTCCTCCTCCTCCGCCTCCTCCTCTCCTCCTCCTCCTCCTCCTCCTCCTCCTCCCCTCCTCCTCCGCCTCCTCCTCCTCCTCCTCCTCCCCCTTCCTCCTCCTCCTCCTCCTCCTCCTCCTCCTCCTCCTCCTCCTCCTCCTCCAGCGGTGCGGTCGCGGCGCTGCCTCGAGGAGCGCCCGCCGAGGAGCGAGGGGGCGCTGCTGGCCGCGGCGAGCCGCGGCCCCGAGCGGGCTGCCCCGAGCCAGCTGCGGGGAGCGGCCCGGAGCCGAGAGCCCCCTCGCGGAGGGCAGCGGCCCTCGCCTCGGCGCCTCGGCCGCAGCCCATCCCGGGCTGGGGGAGGGCGCCTGCGCAGCGGCATCTTCGGCAGGGTTCGCGGGGGCCTCCCGTGCCATCCTGCTGGCCCACGCCCACCGACGCCGAGCGACGCCGGTCGGTGCCGAATCGGCGCCATCGCACCGACTGCCACAGGCCAGTCGACGCGAGGGCGTGCTGGAAGCGGAAGTGCGAGGCCCGAGCATATCGATATCCACCGACTGCTGAAATCCCAAGTAGATCCCCGCCTCGCCCACCCCCGCCCCTCTCGCGGAGCCTCCAGGCGATCCACCCTCCCCCCCGCGGAGCATGCACGTCGCGCAGCGTCGCACGTTTGCTGCACGGAGTGCGAAAACGGAGCGGGTCGGCGAGCAGAAGCAGCCACTCTCCCTCGGGGGCCTGGCTCCCTCCTCCTCCTCCTCCTCCTCCTCCTCCTCCTCCTCCTCCTCCTCCTCCTCCTCCTCCTCCTCATCATCATCATCATCATCATCATCATCATCATCATCATCATCATCATCATCATCATCATCATCATCATCATTATCATCGTCATCATCGTCATCATCGTCATCGTCATCGTCATCATCATCATCATCATCACCACCACCACCATCATCATCATCATCATCATCATCATCATCATCACCATCAGCATCCTCCTCCTCCGCCTCCTCCCCCTCAACATCATCATCAGCAGCAGCAGCAGAATGATGATGATCAGCATCATCATCATCATCATCATCATCATCATCATCATCATCATCATCATCATGAGCAGCAGCAGCATCATCATAAGCATCGTCATCATCATCGTCGCCAGCATCATCATGCTCAGCATCCTCATCATCGTAATCAGCATCATCACCATCATCATCAGCATCGTCATCAGCATCATCATCATCCTCATCCTCATCATCATCATCAGCATCAGCATTATCATCATCATCTTCAGCATCATCAGCATCAGCATCATCATCATCCTCAGCATCAGCTTCAGCATCATCATCAGCATCAGCAACATCATCATCCTCAGCATCAGCATCAGCATCAGTATCAGCATCATCATCATCGTCATCATCATCAGCATCATGATGATCATCATCATCATCACCCCAACCGCCACCATGAGCATCATCATCATCAGCAACATCATCATCATCATCATCATCAGAATCAGCATCATCGTCATCATCATCATCAGCAGCAGCATCATCCTCAGCAGCAGCAGCATCAGCATCAGCATCAGCATCATCATCATCAACACATCATCATCAGCGTCAGCATCAGCAGCATCATCATCAGCATAATCGTCATCATCGTCAGCAGCATCAGCATCACCACAACCACCACCACCACCACCATCATCATCATCACCATCAGCATCATCATCATCAGCATCTTCAGCCTCATCATCAGCATCATCCTCACCCTTATCATAATCCTGATAATCATCAGCAGCAGCATCAGCATCACCATCACAAGCAGCAACATAAGCAACATCAGCATCATGTGTTTTCCATCGCATTTTGGAGGGAGCATCGGCAACATCATCATTGCCTGCATCATCATCAGAATCATCAGCAGCAACATCATCATCAGCATCATCATCACTACCACCGTTATCATCATACTTATCATCATCACCACCACAACCATAATCATCAGCATCGTGATCATCATCATGATCATCATCGTCGTCATCATCATCACCACCACCATCACCATCATCATCATCATCATCATCATCATCATCATCAGATTTATCATCGTCATCGTCATCGTCATCGTCATCATCAGCATCATCCTCAACAGCAACGTCGTCGTCATCATCATTATCAGCATCGTCGCCAAGCCCGCGCACCACAGGCTGCAGTCCAACTGCCGCCATGAGGAACGCTGAATTGAAGGGGAACGACAGGAAGGAAGCGGCTCAGAGGGGGACGATAGATCGGCGATAAGCCCCCCGATAACGAAACAGCACATTCCTGGACGGGGTAGGTTATGAGGTCCCTATCAGCGATCCATTGGCCCCTGGTGGTTGATGCGTTTCCCCCTGAGCCTGTCCCCCTCCGATCCCCCGGCGTTGCCCCTGACAGATGGGGAACGAATCCACCTCTTGGCCCGAAAAGCGGCGCCTGGAATGCACGAGGAGCGCGGGAGGAAAAGATGCGCAAGCATTGAAGGACCCACGGAGCAGCCAGCCTCTTCCGAACCCAACCTGCTGCATGACTCGGCGACGTGGCTGCGCAACACCTAAGAAAGCCACCCGCTGAGTGAAACGATGCCAATAGCGCTGCTCCCCAGACCTCTGGCGTGGTGCTTCCTGAACAGAATCTCGAAGAGAACCCCAAGATGCGACGTCCTGATGTTGTCAACACGCGGCCCCCGAAGTCCCGACCCGTTCCCTTTGAACGCCCGAAATGGGTACGGAAAGAATGGGCACAATGCCCAACAACATATGTTGTCCCAAACCAACAGCGGCCGTTGTTGGGCAAGCGACCTTCTGTCTCAAATGGAAACAGGCCGCGGCGGCGCGGACAGCGAGTCCTGTTCAAAATGAACAGGAAATGCTGTTGAGCATTGTACCCATTCTTTCCGTGCCCATCTCGTTCGTGCAGATTCCCCTGGGCTGGTGCTTCATCTCGAGTCGTTCCTGAACGGTCCCGGGGCCCAGCGAGGGCCCCCGGAGCCCGAGAACGGCGAAAAGCCTCCGAAGCGAACTCCTCAATCCCTCGGAGCTCTCGGGCCCCTCCCCCGCCTCCTCCTTCTCCTCCTCCTCCTCCTCCTCCTCCTCCTCCTCCTCCTCCTCCTCCGCCTCCTCCTCCTCCTCCTCCCCCTCCTCCTCCTCCTCCTCCTCCTCCTCCTCCTCCTGCTCCTCCTCTGCGCACTGGATTCCCCCATGCGAAGGGGCCCCAGGACACACAAATAGATACACACAAATAAAAAGATTCTCCATACTTTCCCATATCTTCTGGGTTTTCGTCTTCCCCCCCACTTCCCAGATTTTCCCCTGTTTTCTGGGGGATCGACGATGAATTGTGTCTGTGTGTTTTTTCCCCTCCTGACCATGCGCTGGAGGTCCGGGCCCGCGGTGCCCCCCACGGCCGCCCGGGGCCGCGGGCGCTGACGGCCGCTCGGCCGACGTGCCGCGCGCGCGCGCTCGCGAGGGCCGCAGGGGCCGACGGCCGGAGCGAGAGGGGCTCCCCCGCGCAGCCTCCCCCCTGGCGTCGCTCCGGCCTGGAGCCCCGAGGCGGTGCGGTGACGGGCCGCCTCCTCCTCCTCCTCCTCCTCCTCCTCCTCCTCCTCCTCCTCCTCCCCCTCCTCCTCCTCCCCTCCTCCTCCTCCTCCTCTCTCCTCCTCCTCCTCCTCCCTCCTCCTCCTCCTCCTCCTCCTCCTCCTCCTCCTCCTCCTCCTCCTCCTCCTCCTCCTCCTCCTCCTCCTCGGTGACCTCGAAAGGCCCCAAGACCTCACCGCGCGGTCCGTCGCCGCACGGTCTTTTGGGACCCCGGAGGCCCCCCGTCGCCCGAGGCCTCCTCGGAGGACGGCCCGAGTCACAAGACCGCGCGGCGACCCCGAATGCCCACCGACTCGCCGCACGGTGTGGTCACGGCAGCCTCGAACGTATCCCTATCCCTAAGATTGACACGCCAAAAGGCGATGACAATCTTAGGGATTCGCCCTCAAAAAATAAGGGAATCCCTAAGATTGGCATCGTGATGAGGAGGTGCCCAGCATAGGGATAGGGATATGTTCCAGGCTGGTAATGGGGGACACCACCACTCGAAACTCGGTCTGGGGCATATCCGGAGCGCCAGACCCAGGACGAGAATGCCCAGAACTACCGGTCTGAACTTCGCCTGGGCATGCTCCCGAGAAGGCGCATACAGGATTCCAAGGTACACTTCGTATGCAATGCACCCTCTCCCTCTCGCCTCCTCAAAGTCCTCGCGCTTTGCCTTTGGAATGGCCTCTGCGGCACACTTAGCGGCGCCACCAGGAGAAAGCAGAACCACCGTCGTCACCAGTAGGCCCATCGCCCTCCGTGGGCGCGGGGATCTTGAGCTCGAGTTTTTTTGTTCCTGTCCGCCGCCTGCTTGAGGACCGCATTCGCATCGATCGATGCCGACGCATCCTCCGAGGTTGCGAAGACCTTTTCTCCATGATCTCCAGCATGACGGTCTCAGCACATACTGATTTTCTGGAGGGGCATCTGGCAAGACGTCGGCAGCCTCAGCCTTTTTGATGTGGGCCTCCAGCTCAGCCATACTCTCACGATGCTTGAGCAATTGCTTGTTCTCTTCGTCACAGACACCCGAGCTTGCTGCAAGGCCTCCCTTGCAGACTCGACTCTCTGGAGCGACCCTTCGATCTGCTCCGCCTTCCGCTGCTTCAGCTGCAGGAGATCCTGGAGCCCCTTCCTTGGATAGATCCACGAGCTGCACCTCCCCCGACTTCTTGAGCGCACTCTCGAGTTCGATGGATAGCTCCAAGCCCTTCTCGACGCCTTTCGCCTGCAGCAGCTCGACAAGCTGCTCAGCCGAGAGAGCACTGGGTTCTACAGCCTTGCCTCCAGCTGCACCACACTCAGGCGGTCCCTTGAGCCAGCGGCTGATTAGCGGTTGCTTCTCTCCCACCTGCTGCCCTGCGTTGACCTTCTTCTGCGACTGCAAGACAGACTGTGGGGCACGGGTTCCACAGTCACGGCATGAAGACCTGACGTCGAAGTTGAGGAATCCGCGCGAGCGACACCCCCAGGCCATTTTCTGGGTCTGTCACAGTGCGCCATCGTGGGTCATGACAGATTTGGCTCTTACCAGCTGCGCCACGTCCAAGTGCCCTGGCCAGAAGGATTACTCGAATCAGCTCAAAACCTGGAAATGGCTAGGGGGAAGAAGAAGAGGAGGGGGAGGACGAGGAGGACGAGAAGGAGGACGAGAAGGAGGAGGACGACGAGGTGGAGGTGGAGGTGGAGGTGGAGGAGGAGGAGGAGGAGGAGGAGGAGGAGGACAAGCAGGAGGAGGAGGAGGACGAGGAGGAAGGACGGACGGGCCCCCCCCCCGCCTTGGCCACGTCGTCCTCGGTGACGACCGGCACCGCCAGGACCTGGTCCCAGTCCACCTCCTCGGCCGGCTCCGCGGCGGCGTCAGCCTTTTCCCCGACGGGGACCGGGCACCCCTGAGCATCGCTTCACCGATCCCTATCCCCACTCGCGTGGCCTGGGCCCCGCTGGCCGACTCACCCCCCTATAGATGGGGATGTAGGCCGTGCCTGTCAGGCTTCGAGGGGTATGTCCCCAACTGGGGTGGTGATTTGGTGGGGGTCTCGAAGGGGGTGAGGATGGGGATGGGGGTCGGTCAAACGATGCTGAGTTTCCCCGGCGGGGACCTGGCGCCCCCCAACCTCGCGTGCGACCCAGACCCCCGACGTCATGATTTTTTCATGACGTCGACCCCCCGAGGTCTCGACCCATTCCCCGGGACCGTTTTTTCGTCCTGAGTCGTTTTTTGACGGTCCCGAGGGCCGGTAAGGGCCCCCAAAGGCCAAAAGTAATCAAAAACCTGCCGTCGTGATTTTTTCATAACTCGAGGGGGTCTGGGGAGGGAGCGTGCACGCGCAAGCTGGCGCAGCGTCGCAGGACCCTCCGGGCACGGCAGACGGGCGTGCCGCCGCCCGCGCTGTTCCTCGCGCGCACGCTCCCCCCCTCCGGCACGGCGGCCGCGCACCCTGAAGGGGATGACCCCCAGGGGGGGGGGGCGACCTTTGTTTTTTTCCGCAAATCGGGACCGGTGGCAATGACGAGTTAACAACCAATGACGTGCCCAGGAACACGAAGCGCACCTGGATAAAATCGAGAAGACCTGAACGTGTCTAAGCTCCGTGAGCCACCACGTAAACTCAAACGACAAGAGGCAGAGAAGGAGCAGAGGGGACGAGGCGGACAAAGGGGGGGGGCCGACCTTTGTGGATGTCATGACACTGGACACCCTAACAATCCGAGCATGGAATGATAGATGTGTCTGCAATGTGTGTGAGCATGTTCTCAGAAGGTGTCAACATGCATGGCACGTGCGCAAGACATGCTTGCAACATGTTTTGAGGGATGAAAAAACGACCCTACCCTGGGTTACGAGTGCGTGGTCTGTAAACCTCCTGGGAACCCCCAAAGCCTAGAGCCGCCAGGACGCGGCACATCACGCAGGGTTTACCCTGTCAGCCCGCAAGAGTTTCAGCGCACAGCGCCTCGTAAACCAGGGTAGGGGCGTTTGTTTATGCCGTTGAATGTTTAGACCTCTGGAAACTATTTGGCGACGCGCTTCCCCTCCATGGATCGCCTTCCACAGGCCCACCTGGCCACAGGCGACGGGCACCGCAGAGGGGCACGGAGCGCGCGACACACGCCCGCCCGCTGCGAGCAACCACGGCGAGGCCTCCGAGATTCGAGGCTCGCGGCTCGAGGTTCGCGGGTGCCCCCGTCGGCTGCACGCAAGAGTTTGCAGGGGCCCCACCCAGGACACACAAACAAATACACACAAATACAAAGATTCCCCCTATGTTCCCCCTCTTTCTGGGTTTCTCTGTCTTCCCCCCCACTTCCCATAGTTTCCCATATGTTCTCGGGAATCGACGATTCATTATGTCTGTGTGTTTCTGTTCCTCCTGAGAGTTACCCTACGGCAGGTTCGTGTCGTGCCGACCCCAGCGTTGGTTTTTGACACCGCAGGGATCGTTCAACCTTGAACGATCGGCCGCTGCCGCAACGTCCGATCGTTCAACATCGATCGATTCTGGGTCGCCGGCGGCGTTCAACCTTGAACGCCCGCGCTGGGGTCTCCGCTGGTCAACACGACGCAAACCTACCGTAGGCGAGAGTGGCCCCTGGTGCGCGGCGCAAGGGGGTGCGCAGCGGCCAAATCGAAGCGAGCAGGCCGGTGCTGCCGCCTCGCGCCCCGCGATCGGGGGGGGGGAAGCCCGGCGGGCCCGCACCCCGCACCCGGAGGTCACTCTGGCGAAGGGTCGCTCTGACGTGCAGCCGACTCCGTCCGTTCTGACAGGTTTTCTAGCCTCGGGATTAGCTTTAGGTCGGGCCTGTCCCCCCACAGGGGGATTGTGGGCGAGAAGTAAAAGATGCGCAAAAAATACCACAAAAAATGCCCCAAAATACTCAAAGAATAGTCCCCAGACTATTTTTGTTTGACTATCTCTGAGTATTCCCCCTGTAGAGGGACGGGCCCGACGTAAGGTTGGCTTCCAGCAGCCGGGCCCCGCCGAGGGCGTTCTCCAGGGGGGGGGCATCGGCTAGTGCACCCATATCTCGAACATCCACTGCTGCCTAGGCGGCGCTGGCTTGGATACTGAAGCGCCAAGCTGCTGGCAAAAAAATGCATCGGGAAGGCAATGCACCCGGGCGCCCCCGGGCACCCCCGGGCACCCGGGCACCCGGCCCCGGCCACCGAAATCGGCCACACACCTGGGCACCCGGGCACCCCCGGGAACCCCTGGGCACCCGGGCACCCGGCCCCGGCCACCGAAATCGGCCGCCCACCTCACCTCAGCTTTATATCCGCTAGGACCCCTACAGAGGCAAGCTCTGATTGGGGAATCAGGAAGGCA